TCTCAGTAACATGTAATGCATTACGTTAAAAAAATAATCAATAATATCTGAGTTACTTTAAAAAAATTAATTTAGGTTGATTTAAGATCAATTAATTATTTATTCATTAATTTTATTTTTGGCTTTGTCTGTTTATTAATCAGAGGTTGCCACAGCAGAATGAACTGCCAATTTATACAGCATATGTTTTACGCTGCGGAGGCCCTTTCAGCCACAGCCCAACACTGGGAAAAGTTTAATTAATTAGTTTATAAAAATAAATAGCTGAATTTAAATAAACGCAGACAAGTTGAATCCGACAAGAATGCAGAGACTTACATTTCTGCGATGGCAGTATTCTCATTATTCTGAAAGGGTCAAAGAAAGGGAAGAGAACTGTCTCAATGGACAGTGATTGTACTTCACTAGTAAGACAAAAAAAGTACAAAAGTAGCAAACACATTGCTTTACACTTTCATTAATCTGTATTTAATTTTGATGTTTTTTTTAAGTTAAACGAAGATGTAGCTATATGGTGCATTGTTAATTGCAGAGCTCCTTTATTTAAAATAAAAAGAAGAAGAAGAAAAAGAAAAAAAGAAGAAGTAGAAGAAGAAAAAGAAGAAGTAGAAGAAAAAGAAGAAGAAGAATAAAACAATCCTGCAAGTTATGAAACAGATCAAGCTTCAGCCAGGTCAGAAAAAGTAATGCAACAGTAACTCAAAAGTAATGTAACGCATTATTTATCATAAAAAGTAACTAAGTAATGTAACTAGTTACTTTTTTTTGGAGAGTAACTTAATATTATAATGCACTACTTTGAAACAAAACACAGTTTACGGTAGGCCTTAACTGTATTGGATATATAAGAAGTTACAGAAATGCCAAATATAGGTGGGGGAAACTATTTTGAAGAAGCTTATATAAAATCATCTGTATGCAACCACATTATGTGGACTAGTACAATGTACTTAAAAATGTAACCAGATTTAATTTTGTTGCCTACTCTAAATGTACTCCTCACAATATTGACAATATAGATAAAATGTCCTAAAACTAGCAGAAAATACCAGTATTTAAAAAAAAACTTTCATGTCGAACCTTTTTTCAACCCTTTTTCACTGCTTATACACTGCTTACAAACAGACATCCATGCATAACAAAACAAAGGACACAATACTTGACTGAATACACAACCAATCAATGTGTAAGTTCCCATTTAGTTGTAAACATTTAGAGTATGGAGCAATTTTGATAACACCACTTTTCAATTTGAATGAATAAACAAAACAACAAAATTAGGACATCAATTAGATAGATAAAAGTGCACCGCCCACAGAGCTTTTATTCAGCGTTGCGTGAACTGTCAGTATGGCGTGTGGAGACCTGTGGCCCGAGGGCTCCGATTCACAATGCCGCAACCTCTCGAGTTAATTAAAACAGCCAATCTGCCACAGCACAGACTCAATCTCTTGCTCTCTTCAACCTGCACTGTATCGGTAGCACCAACAGAGGGTGAGAAGTATCCCTGCGGCTCCTAACATCTCCGTATCTCCCTGCTCATTTCCGTAAAGCACTCATTTGTCCTTTTGTGGCGTTGCTTTGGCATTAGTTTGCACGTGACCCTCTTTCTTCATGAATTATTGAGACAGAGAGCCCCAGAGAAAGACACATGGATTTACCATCTGCTCTAAAAGAGGGAAAATGGATTCTGAGACCCAAACAGGGTTTTTTTTTTTTTTTTTTTTTTTTTTTGAGCCAGAAACAGATACGGTGTTTTAATATTGTGTAACGGAGGTAGAATGTTTTTCACAATTACAGAGTACCGTCTGTGACTTAACAAGATTATATTTGTTAACGGGAAAAAACATTAGGGCCCAGGCGGCTCATCTGGACCAGTCGTGCATAACCTTGTTTTGAATTAAGATTCTAGAGAAATTAAGCAATTACAACAAAGAAAATAAACATGACAGTTACTGTGGTTATTATGCAGAGCCACAGATACCCCTAAACTGCAACTGCAAAGCTGTAATGAAAAGACAATTACAGATGAATTTAGACTTGAGCTATTGGAGTAAATCTCACTAACATGGGGTGCTGAACTCCATAGCTGCAAGAAAGCAGCTGCCAAGTATCTTAATGCGCTATGCATACAATATAACCTTTCGCAAAAGGCCACAAAGACTTGAGATGTCTCGTAAATCATGCCGCATGTAGCAGCTCATTATAAAAAATTAATCTATGAGGATATTCTTGCTAGGACAGAACTTCTGTTCTACTTTGACTGAAACAAGTCAGGTCACTGAAAAATACATGCTCGTGGTGACATTTTTGCTACAGCATTACGTTGATTCTAACATGCGTGCTGGCGCTTCCAAGTCAAATGTTCAGTGGGTAACAATAAAAAAGTATGCTCCATTTTCTTTGTGTAATATTAATAGCTAGGCATTGAACTGGCGCTGAACTCCAAATTTAAAATACACACTGACACGGGTTGCCAGATTGATCACACCAGCAAGAATGAACTCATCCGACAATGAGTTTTTAAACTGTCTCCAACTCTCAGATGCATCTCCGATATATATCTGGCTCTTTTTGCACTTTTGGTGATAGCGTCTTTTTGACAGATGGCTGTTAGGTTAGTGTCTGGGTCAACGTATTCAAGTAAAACAATACACCCTTCTCTCTCTCTCTCAGATGACATACCGTACAACAGCAACGGCATTTTTCCATCCAGCTGCTGTTTTCATTTTCTTCAATTCTCAAACTACCAAATGTATTTGATTAATTTCATCTTTAGAGTTATATGTCAGATAGATTCAGTTATATAAGTGAAGGCTTTAAATCTTTTTAAGTGATTTTTTTTATTTTTTATTTTGAGATATTTTGTACTTTAATGCTGATAATATTTTATGTTCTGACGACCAAATGCTGGGCGGTTTCAATCAAAATTTCTAGAAAACATGGATGAACCAACTCAATTTATTAATTTTTAAGAATGAAAAAATCTTAATAATATATGCTGTATTCACAGTGGTTGTGTAGATCTTTTTTAGGATTTTTAACATCCTTACATGATGCAAGTTAGCTTGCAAATATTACTTTAAGTATGAGGTAAACAATAGTTTACTATACCTCTACAATTCAGTGTTTGGGCTTTCAGCAGTGAAATTTAAACCACACTGAAATGAACTAAACTGAACTCCAACTCTGAAAACTGGACTGACACAATTTCATTTTAATAGAACTTCTATGTTAAGCTGCTTTGACACAATCTACATTGTAAAAGCGCTATTGAATAAAAGAACTGATTTAGTTGAATTAAATACAATTAAGGAACATAAATCAAACTATTATGTTGGGTTAAATGATGAACACAGACCTCAACCAAAAACTGAAAAATTCAACACACAGGAATTACTGGCTGTACTTTAACTACAAAAGCACATGTTCACTGTTTTCTACATATCTCTGTCTTTAGATAAGGGAAAGAGTTACATTCAGCACCTTTAATTCATACCTGGTACTAATTTATAATACATAGTCATAATTTGTGTCAAAATAGATTCTTTAGTGAAATAGTTGATTCAGAATCTAATAAATGAATCGAGTTGGGTTCGGATCTTTCGCTTAAACGCATCGATGCTGACACAGTACATCACCAAATATGTGGTCCCAGATCCGATAAAACCTGAACGTGTTTTTCTGTCAGACACTTGGGGAGCGTGGGGGAATCACGGGACTGATTGTAACTTGAAAACATGGATCACTGACAAATGGAGATTCGGCTGCGGAGAATAAAGGGTTACATTTATTTTCACAACAATACCAATGTATAGCCAACCTAGTGCTATCTTTGGTCCTGTCATTTTTCTGATTTTAGATACAATAACCTCCACTGTAATGCATTTGAGATTATTATGTATCGGACTTTGTCTGAGTTTGACAGGGAGTTTGTCAGTAACAATTACAGTCCATATAGGCCAGTTTCTTCTTGTTCAAAATCATAACATGTATAAGTGTGGTAAAAAGTGTTGCCTCGTTTTGTGTAGTTTGCAAAATATGTGCTTAAATGTGTGTTATAAGTTGTAATAGCCCAGCACGCCTTGTAATCACTTATTGAACATAGATCAGTGCTTGCATTGTATATCTCAGGTTAAATTCTCTATGGGCTATTCACATATTGTGTCCAAAACTACATTGAAAACGCAGCTCCAGCTTCTTCCTTTACAGATGTAAATGTGTTTCTGAACTTGTGATTCTCTGCTGTTTGTCTTTGCTATGGCTACCATCAGCTATTCCTCACACACACGCGGCGAGGTCAATTTTCAAAATAGTTCGACTTTCGCCACTTTATGGATTAACACCGAATGTGTATTGTTGTTATTACTTGGGTTTAGGGTTAAGAGTAGAGTGATATGCTGGTGTTTAGCTGAATTGCTTGATTGCATTCCTGCATTTGGCTCTCACATACTCTGTTACTTCATACTGTAGACATGGTGTGCATTTTTCTGCGTCTTATGCTGAACGCAGTCGACCAATCACAATAGACTGGGTTATCGGACCAATCAGCGCAGATTAGCTTTGTGCTAAGGAGGGGTTTGGGAACAAATTAATCACTGAACTAATCATATAGGAGTCGTTGGGAAAATTAGGTAAACATAAATGCATATTATAGGACAATAAAAGAGATTTTATTTTACCTTGCATGCATATCAGTATGTTGTTAGAGACCCCCAAAACCAAAATATGACCTTTCATGATACAAAATAGGGGTTCTTTAAATCCTTTCCTCAAAACGAAGGCACAGACCCCCCCACAGCAAATGATCTTGGGTAGCCCCAAAATTTGTTTTGTTTTATGTGCTATTTACAGTTGTAGTCTTTTCTGAAATCTACTATACTACAAAATAGGTCATCTGGTATTGCGAGATAACCTGATCTGACCTTGGCCTGCAAAACTATTTCTGATAAATGAGTGTGAATTAACTGTGCTCTTGAAAATGCCACCAAGATTCATACCTCCAGGGACTGCAAGTAGCCTTCCTGAGGGTCGCAGAGCAGTGAGGAGATGCGATGATTGTTCCTCATGCAGCGGATGTTGGTGTCCCTCCACAGGGGGAAGATCTGTCGGATCACTGTCATCCGGCCCAGAGCACTGTGGACAAGCTCCATGATCTCTGTGTCACTAACCTCCTACAGAGAGAGAGAGAGAGAGACACATTCACAATAATACAGTGTGAAGACTGACATATTATTACCTACTGGCAACAAAGCCACCAAACAAACATATTAAACCTCTGGCTGCTCTGGGACTGTCCTTGCATTTACAGAACATTACTAATATCTCTGCTGCAATATAAAGCTTATGCAAGCTGATTTGCAGGTCTTAAAGAGATAGCTCCTTCAAGAATGAAAAATTCTGCCATCATTTACTTCACTTGTTTCAAACGGGTTTCATTTTCTTACATCAGTCTTTCAACACAAAAAAGTATTTTGAAAAAAGTTTGAAACCAGTGGCTATTGACTATACCACTTTATGATGCATGCTACAAGCATTTGCTAAGCAATAGCAAATAGGTAAAACATATTTTTTATTTATTAAGAATCAGTTATTACTGTAATCAAATATTATTATAAATTATTATTATTATAAAGGTACCAAAGAAAATTAAGAGTTGCTCTGTGCAGTCCTCTGCCAGAACACAATTTAGTTTAGTGAGTGGAAAGTTGTTGATAATTGTTGAAAATATTATCCAGATAAAAGACTGTAAAAAGATCTGCTTCAGTTCACATTCAAACTTGGAGGCTAAAGACCTTGGCCTCTAGTGTCTGTCGCTAGAGTACCTTTTGAGGTCAGAGGAATGAGGTTTACCTGCATAGCACTTCGCTAGCTGGCCTCTGTTACATATGTAATTGCATTCATGGTGTATTTTATGCTTTTGTTATTAGTTGTAATAAGATGGAAAACACCTTTTGTGTCCCTCTGAAAAAAATATTATGCAAGTAATGGTTGCAAATAACAAATGCTACTCATTTTAAGGTTCTAAAGTGTAGTCTTATGTAATACTATATAGTCCTCTGAAAATGAGGTGACATGACATAACAAATCACACAGAACATATTCTTTTTCTAATTAATAGATGAGTATGTGCATTTAATATGATATCAATCAATGTCATTGATGTGACAGAATGATATAACTATTTATTTAATTAGTTTCTTTAACAGTTAATTATATGTCAACATCTAAGTAACTGGTTTATATATGAATTAATTAATATATTAATTAATTAATTAATTATATATTGCTTATTTAGATTTTTTTCAAATTCATCATTAACACTAGCTTTGTAGGACGCAGTCATTTTAAAGCGTTACCAAACGTATTGGACTTTGCATATTTGCAAATATATTTATATGTACTCTATTAAATAAATGAAATTTCTCTTTTGGGTAATCTGAACATGAATGAATACACACACACGCAAACACACACACACACACACGCACGCACGCACGCACGCACACACACATACACGCACGCACGCACACACACACACACACACACACACACACACACACACACACACACACACACACACACACACACGCACACACACACACACACACATACATATGAGCAATATCACACAAGTAGCAGTGCAATTTGCATTTGCATGCACTGGCTTGAACACACAGGCTGAGTGCCTTAGTGCCCCACCAGTAAATATATATATATATATATATATATATATATATATATATATATATATATATATATATATATATATATATATATATATATATATATATATATATATATATATAGCACTGCTAAGAGTGTCATATTGCATTTATTAAACAGTTTGACGGCATAATCAAATATAAAGAATAAAATCAAACACATGGAGTCTCAATAATACTTTTATATGAGGAACTACTTTCTTCCGCCATTAATTTACATCTGTAGCTGACCGTCAGAAGAACACAAACTCTTTCTAATTTACAAATGTCACTTTAGATATAGTATTTGAATGATTCTCAAGCGTAATGTCTTAAGTGACAAAACATGGGATTTTGCTGACATTTTAAGATTATAAGGCTGAACGAACTAAAATGCCATCAGTTTACAGAGATGTCCTTGTATTTCTCTGTTGCAATAGGATGTCATAATAATTCACCCCAAAAAAAGCCAAAGCTAAGCAAATACTACCAGATTACTATGGTACAAATACAGAACCACAAAATACAAAAGAGAGTGCTGTTATTGCAGAATATCAGATGGCTATCATCAGCTGATCAATTTTGAGAACCAGATAGAACTGTTACATATGTCAATAAAGAAACTAATTGCATGGTTATACAGTATGATTGCAAGGGGTGACGCAATAAGAAGACGCTGAGAAAGGTAACAGAAGTTTGTAATAGAATCATAACATATCGATCAAGTGTGAAAAGTGCCTCAGTTTATCATAAAATAAAATTTAAATAAACCTGAGGAAATCAAGGCCTGTCTGTTTAAAATGTAAAGCGTATAGTTAGTGAGTGCCAAGCAATTCATACACTCTAGCTAAAGCCTCAGGGAATTAAGAAGTAAACCTATTCCATCAACTACATTCAGGAATGTGTCGTACAGCATATGGAGAAAAAATAATGATAGCAATGATGGATTGGCCCCTCTGAGAACAAACTTCATTAAAGTCAAAACACGTCTTCAAATCGTAATCAGATACAAAGAAAAAAAAAATGTTCTTGAAGTTCAGCTGTAACCGAGGTACAAAAAAATGACCTCCAGTTTTAAAGTCTATCAATTATTGAAAGCTCTGAAGTGTTCACGGTGTGGAATTTAAGGATGTTTCTTCACACTAGACCCACCACATGTGTCCTCATGCAAGTTTTAAGAGCGCTGTGTGCCAGTTTCTAGTTATCTACCGCTTTATGAGTCCTAAAAGCGATCTAGTATGTATTAACATCAGAAAGAGAGAGTTTAAACACTTAAGGGCATAGTATAAATACATTTAGGCTCTCCACATATACAGTCTTTGCTTTTCTGCTACTTATAATCGCTATTAAAGTAATAGTTCACACAAAAATGTGGCACCCTAATGTCTTTTGCAAGCTCTATGAGTTTCTTATTTCCACAGACCACAAAAGATGTTGAATGATTAGCTTCTTTGAATGCAAAGAGTGACCAAGGCTGTCAAGCAAGACTATTAAAGCAATACTTCCAGTGAATGACAGCTTGCAGTATTTCACACCAAGCTGTTATTTGGGTTCCGAATATTAAGAGTCATATGAATAATGCTTGTAAAGTGCTTTTTTAAAGCTTGATAGCCCTTGGTCGCAAGCCACTTTCACTTAAACTCTATAATGCAACTTTTGCAACCTTTTTAATATTACTTTGGACATTATTTAGAGCATTCAATTACCTTACGACTACATTTTCTCAGCTCCTTCCTATTGATTATGGCTGTGTGAGTGCTGTACTTATTATGCATATATAATCATGAGTTCAAAATTGAAGTTTGCAGCAAGCATTCAAAAGACTGGGGTCAAGAAAATCTTTAATAATTTTAAAAGAAGTCTCACTAATTGAGCATCTATTTCACACACAAAAGAAAAATACAGTGAAACTGTATTAATTCAGTATTAATGTTTTAGACTTCAAATAAAAAACAAGAGTATATTTAAGTTGCAATATATTTTTGTGTAATTGATGACACTTAATTTAATTTAAATGGAAATCTTTCAATATAATATGAATATATTTAATATATTCCTCTTTGATCAACTGAAATCTTACAGTATTACTTAAAAAAAATAATTTGAAAGGTGATGTATCTGACAAATACCAGCGAATGGACCTCAAAAACAAAACAGCAATGGAAACTACTGATCTAAACACTCTGGTCTAAATCTGTTCTCTAAGAAAAAAGCTATAAATTAGCTTTTGACTCACTGACCTTCATAAATGCAGCACATTCGGCTTTTACAGTGACTTTGATCTTACAAATATCTTTCCACAATCTTGGCAGCAGTTTAAGCGTTGGCGTTTGTACAGGAGAAGAATACCCAGAGATCACAACGCTGCGATGACTCACTATGTGCAACCTCCAAACACATTAATCAAAACAGCCCGGCCCAACATATAAATGATCTCTGATACACGTCCCTTGGTGAAGGTATTAATTATTCATTTACTCATGACTATAAACTTTTTACTGATCAACTGATCAAGGTGATGCTAAGCAGAGTCAGGACTTCTGATGTCACGGTCTTTAATTAAATCAGCGCAGATGTTTAAATCCTTTAACATACTGAATCAAATCTGTCATTTAATTAAACTTCAAGCGTTTGTCACAGTAAGAGACTATTCTGACATCTATTAAAGGTCAGAGTTATGAATACAGCTGAAGATATAGGTGAATGTGTGAAGGGGATTAATGAAACAATGTCATGGTGAGATAGGAGGAAATTCATATTTTCGATTTGATAGATTTCATATTTTTCTCCTCAGGTTATGAGCAAATTATTTGAGCAATGAACAATAAATGTTTGCTTTCAGCTGAACTTTGTGTTTAATTGAACTTTATGGTCAATAACAACACAGGCTCATTATGGATACATACCCGTTTATTCATTTCTGGAAAGCATGAAATATGTCCCAGGATGTATGTTTATTTGCAGTTTTTGTTTTCACGAATCCATCAGAGGCCACTGTGTATGCTTTTTCAGATCTCAAATTTCTCTCGAAAGTGCCATTTGCACCTGCTCTTTTCATGTAAATCCAACAGAGACTGCTGTCGACTGTGACAGACTGAGCGACTTTTGATTTTGTTTTACCTGCTTTCTGGAACTGTTCTTCACCTGACTCAAACCCAACATCACAGTAAACTTAAGCAGCTTAAGTCCACTCACTGATGCACACAGCACGCCAATGGGCAAACTGGTAACAGTGGAAAAGCTGTCCACATCAGTGCCAAGATGAAATGCAGCCAAACATACTGTATCTCTGGCAACAAAATTTGCGCTCTCCAGTAATGTAGATGAGGCTATGTATTCACAAAGTGCCAATGTTGATCAATAATGTTGCATTTATTTGAAACACTATATATTATTGTAATTACAAATTTCTATTTAAATACGTTTAGATAAAATAATTTTCAGCAGCTATTAGTTTAGTCTTTGATCAAACATGCTCCCTTCAAAGTCATTCTAATAATATATATAATATATAATATGAAATTCATAATAATAAAATCACATGCTAATCCTTATTTGAGCACCCATTAACACTTAAGTTTAGGTCACAACTCATGGTATTAACAAACTATTAACTAGTCTTTTGTGTCTCCTGAATGTGTCTGTAAAAGTGACAAACAAAAAAGGTTGTTTTCAAACAAACGGTATGTTTATTACCATATCTAGATATTTTAAGCATAAATAGTAGCCTAATGTAAAATATAAAAGCAAAACATCAGTAGGCCATTTGTATTGGGTACACCTTGCGGTATTGGGGATGAGTCTTCTGCTAATGTCTTAAAAGTTTATTCGGCCTCAAGCATTGGTTAGCAAGTACTTTGCCACAGATGAAGCACTGTGGCTGGGTCAGGGACTCTTTGCTTCGATAAAATGGAATAAAACCATAGTTCAGGTAAATATCTTGGTATTTCCTGCATTTCATGGATCCAGTATTGCTAGTGCTGTGACCCGAAATGTTTAGAGCTTTATCACCTGGGTACACTATGCTTGGGTCTTTACTATTTGCTGCTGTTGACGAATCAGTAAGACTCAGTCTTTTTTGTGGAGGACGAATTACAGATTTGTCCATTTTTGGTCAACCAAGGGATAAAATGAACTAAGGCAACTTGATCGTCCTAATTGGTTCTAATTGTCCAATGCTAAAAATTTTTAAATATGGTGCTACTCCCCAAAGATCTCGCTGAGGCCCCCTTGAGGATCGGGACCTCCCTGTTGGGAACCACTGTATTAAAGAACAGTTAACATCTTAATAATAGGCAGGTAATGAGACAATAGTTAATAGCATGAACTGTGACCTTATATAAAGTGTTACCGAGCATCCTAAATGAACAATAATAATCGCTTAGCAACAGAAAAAAAAAAATTACAACTGTACTTTTGCTTTAGACACTCATATACAAGGTTCAGTGCAAAATTCATGAACTCTTCCCGATTTTCTGCCATGAGTTTGATAAACGAAAACCGTAGAGGCCTAATTTGTGTTCAGATGTGTTGTGGTGACCTTCATGTCAGATGTGTGTTGAATTTATTCACAGCCAATTTATTCATCTTTAATTCAGGATAACAGGCAAACAAAAGCGATTTCATGTGAATATCTAATCATTTCTAGTTTGAATGTGATGGTGCTTTAATTTGGACATGCTAAATCTATGCTGCACAAATGAGCAAAAATGAAACAAGACTGGTGGAAAACAGAATTAGCATTAGAGGCTTATATTAAAACCAAAGCTTCTACAGTAAAAGAACAGCATATCATTTACATACAGTACAAGTACAACAGCACTAGTGATTATATTCTGAGTGCACAAACTGTACATGGTCACAGTCATCAAATTTTGTGGTAAAAGCATTAGCAGTTTTATACCAGTGACGCGGTATTATCAGCTAGATTATTTTATGAAAAGTGCACTTATACTGAGTGCGTTAACATTTCATATTTTCCAATCATGTGTGTACTGTTTCACACACTCAAGTGGAGAATGACAGCATGTTTTCAATGCTGTTATGGAATAAGTGGGCAGATCCAGTATAATAGGAGGTAAAGATAAAAGGACAAAGAGGAAGAGATACACGTTACATGTATTTATTTCTAACATGACACCTAATGAATGAGGCAGATATTCAGACTCACTCAGTCAATCTCTCTCATGATACTCATACTCAATACAATTAGACACTCAACATTCTTTTATTAGTTTTGAATCTGTGGCAAAAGTTGAAAAACACTCACCAATTTCTTTCAAACCTATACTGTAAAAAATGCTGGGTTCCTGAATTCCTTCATGTTGTCCAAACAAAAGTTGTTAACTTATTCATTTTTTACAAATTTAAGTTGATTGATTACAAAACAATTAAATTGTTCCTACAAAATGTTAAAAAAATTTAATGTTCATCATTGTCTGATGAAAAGCAGGGTGGCTCGAAACGTTACACGCTTTGTGTCAGCCTTTTTAATTTATTAATTTAATTATTAATTAATTTATTTTTTACTTATTTTAAATAAATTTAAACAATCAGCTAAGGTCATTTTTAATGTGTATATGACTTCAGTAGAGCACAGATGAAAGTGAATGGAGATTTACAAATCAGTCAATATCGGAGATAATATCAGAGATAATAAAATTGCATTAAATAAATAAACCAATATAAAACGAACAAAAGCTAAACCAATTTAGGTATATACAATACATAAATCAAACCGTTTTATAAAACTTTCATTTTACAAAAGCCTATCTGAAAAAAAGATTTTAGATGTTTTCTAAAAACAATAAACACTAAAGAAGGTTCGACATATTATTTATTAGGTATTTTGATATGATGATAATAATCAAATCATGCAAACAGAGCCTTTTTTGCATGAGAGAAAGCAGAAACTAGGCGATTTTTTTTCTGTAGGCTAGGCTATCTTTTTTCCTTAAATACATGAAGAGCTTTATTAGTGCATAGCTGTTGAGCGCAACGAAATATAGACAATACTTTATTTCTTATTAACTCAATATTGTGATGCACTACTTTCAAAAGTAACTTTCCTCAACACTGCTAATGGCCCTGGGCATTTTGTGCATTTTAACAGCCTGTTGCGCTAGGCCAGCTGAAAACAGTTAACTCTGAGAAGAAAATGCACACTAAGGTAGTCGCTTAATATTTCATTTTCCAATCAAATGAAAGCAGGCAGGGTTTCCGTTGAGGTGACAGCAGTGTTTGTGTTGTCAAGATGACTTCAGAGACTTTTAAAGATGGACGAGAGAATAGTCGCTTTTCGAGTTATCCAGAGCAGTATGACTTCACAAATCGAGAATATCACAATATTATTAAAAAGCAGCCGATCAGTCTGGCAATTTTTTCTCGTCAACAAAAAAGCCAGTGCCTTGCGTTTTCAGAACAGGAAAGCACGTTCAGTGTGATAGCCATCCACTTTCCACTGTATAGACGAGAGTGCCTAGACATTCATATAACTTTTAAAGAACAAACCCTTTAATCCTGAAATAAAACTTTTTTTAAATGTCAGAATGGGATCAAATACACACATTCTTGTTTTGCTGGAAGCTTATGTAGCAGTAAAAGAATGACTCTTACTTCATGCGAATGGTTTTGAAATCCCATTTGTTGTGTAGATGGATACAGAGTGCTTTTGGAAAAGCTTAAGTATGGCTTTGTTTTCTCCCAGAGAAGCAAAGTAAAAGCAAAGTTTTTCTCTTGCTCTCTCTCCCTCTTTATAAAACTATTGTCTCATGCTTCTTTGGTCTATTCTGTTGAAAAGTCTGTGTCAACACATCAGACAGAAACATAAGAGTTTTTTTTACCGTTCAGCCAACACTTATGCTCTCTGTCTTCTTGACTCGGCTCTTATTGGGCCAAACTCTTTGTGCTTAGCTCTCATTGGTTTTTCTAGGGCCAGACTCTCATTAAGTTGTTCTTCCATCTAGCTCTCAGTGAAGAGTCAGAGAGAGGGAAACAGAAATAAAGCGAGCAAAACTCTGAGTCGTGCCAGTGTAATAATCCACTGTCAGCTTTGCTCTAGCATGGTGACAGCATTTTACACACTGAATGAGAGATGTGCCACATATCAAACATTGTAAGTTGAAATTGGAAATGAAGATGGCAGACTGCATTTGGGCTGCCAACAGCTTTGAGGGTTGATGCCTCTTTTCAGAAACAGATAAGAATGAGTTATGAAACTCATTATAAATATGTGCTTACCTCATTGGCGTACACCCAGTGACTATCTTTGGATGCTAGATTGGTTTCCACTGCCTGCAGAACACAAAAAGACAAAAGGATGCAAAATTACTGGGAGGAAAATAAAAGAAAGCTTGATCTACATCAACAAGTAGAAGCTCAAGCAATGGACACTGAGGCCCCGTTTACACTAGTGCGTTTTAGTTTTAAAACGGCGTCCACACTCGCATTTTACCCAGCGTTTCTGAACTGCTCTCCGTCCACACCAATACGCTGAAAACGCACATCACGTGACCACACTCACACTCTTGGGCAAGCGCTGCAGATGAGAGCTCTGCTAGTCGGACTTCTCATCAAGCATCTCCCGCTGGATCTAATCTCACTATATTTATTAAACGGGATATTTCATTCATCTCGTTGTCTTTATCTAACGACATATTCCCTGACTTTGGGCATTGGAATCTATTACTTGTTCTCAGGTAACGTGTTTTGGCTGAGTGCAAAGATAAGTTAATGATTAATGTAACCACGTAGCCTATTCTGTATATTGACTGATCGCTTGCCTTTATTTCCTATAATGTATAAACTTATTGTATGTTATACTTTTAAAATGGCCATTATCGATTATTAAAACTGATATTCAGCAAAAGAGAGGCTGTGTTTCGTATTTTCACTGAAATTGAAAGGAGGCAATTGTTATCGGCTCCGTTTTGTTATAAATATCCACACAGTGAAGATGACGCTCATCTTATGCAGCACAACGCCTCAACATGTTTGCTGTCTAAGTTGCTAATATTAAAATGAAAAAAGGCAGTTTCTTAAATCATGTTTACATTTTATTGTTGAGAGTGAAACAACGTAGCCAGGGTGATGTGAATGAAGTTATAAAGTACACTGTTCACTTTGAAGATTTACCCGTGTCCTCGGTATAGTCTGTTTTCCATATCAAACTGAGAAGAAGAGACTGCAGCCTTGATCAAACTTGCGAAGTCTGAACTTACACGGAGAAGATTCAGGACTGAACTGTGTGTTAAGCTACTTAATATTCAGGAAAAGCCCCAATCAGAGAGGCGAACGTCTGCAGCCCCGCCTCCGTTTTCAGATGTCTCCGTTTTCCATCATCCACACTGAGACGGAGCAGCAGCGTTTTAGAATGAAAACGGCCTCTCCAGCGTTTTCGAAACGCTCCGTTTTCGGCGCTCGAGAACTCGTAGTGCGTAGTGTGGACGGTTGGCGTAACCGTAGCAAAACTTATGCGTTTTCAAACTAAAACGCATTAGTGTAAACGGGGCCTGAGAGCCAAGGGCACTCTTTAAAGCAAGCTTTTGTAAAACATTTCATGGAGCATTGCTATTTCAGAACACATTTTGGGCTCAATCATACCAATTGAACACAAAGTATAGCATTACCTTTAACGTTTTGAATCAAAAAATTATTTTCCCAAAATAAAATAAAATAAAATAAAATAAAATAAAATAAAATAAAATAAAATAAAATAAAATAAAATAAAATAAAATAAAATAAAATAAAATAATAAAATAAAATAAACATCAGTCATCTAATTATTTGCCTTAATCTAAATAAGACAATAATATGATTAAGGAATTTACATGAGTTGCTTCGTGAATGTTCCTTCCATGATCCCGTTTCAGATATTATAGCACATAGATCGATTAATGCCATTATATCATTCTGCTATTTCTTCTAGAGTTTCATGCAATTTCAGTTGTTTCATTTACATTTTTTTTACTTTAACAGCAGTTTGGCAGTTTTACTTTCATTCAGGGACATTTCATTCATGCCCTCATGACAAACCAGATATTGGATGCATGTTTAAAGTAAGGCCTGGTGGAAGAGTGTTGTTTTAAAGGAATTTGATAGCAATTTTGATTTCACAATGCGGCTGTCTGAGGACCTTTACTGACTTGTGAGGTGCCAAACAGCCACGTGTGCATGGAATATATTGTCACAAAATGCAACAAAAATCCTACATGAAGGTAATAGTTAAATTAACCCTGTAAAGCCCGCTGTTGCAGAATAGCAACCTCACTTTTAACAATAAAAAGCAAGCAAATGTTGTTTTTTTCCCCTAAAAACCACTTTAACAGGATTAATGGATCCTTCTGTGTGTACTCACACTGCAATTGGATAGAAAAAAGTGTTTATAGGTCAGGTCATCCTGCCATGAACGTACTCGCATTGAGGTGATCTCCTTTTTTGCACGTCTAGATTCATCAAAATTAATTAAATTCCTTAAACATTTTTTGTGTTTATTATAATATCTAGAACATATACGTAATTTCATTTCATACGTCTGTAATTTTATAAAACGTTAATCAAATTTGATTTAGAGCTTATTATGTCTATGTTATAATTCTACAACTTTGTGTCAGAGTGGTAGCCTGTTGCATTGTTGAATTATATATTTCTATTTAGCTTTTTCAAAAGTTAACAATACAGAACACTGAAACTAATCAGCAAACAAAGTAAAGTAAAACATACACACAGTATATAAAAATTAATAATAAAAAAGGTGGAGATAGAGTATAAACCAATGAACAAAAACTATTTTGTCAACTCAAATCATGTGGTACTGTTTTAATATAATCAAAAATGGATTCCAAATCTTTTAAAATAATTCACCCTTTCCTCTCAAACAATTACGTGATCTTCTCCAATGGCATACAGTTGCAAACTAGACTGTTGTATTGTTCAGGGACAAGGTGTGAATGGTCTTGAATGTGAACTCATTAGCAGTCCCTTTTAGTATGATAAGTAGAGACCATAACAGGCAATTCGAACAGTATTGGTTGAATGTATTGTTGAGTTCTGATTATCATTTGCTTTGAAATGGCATTGAAACTGTGTGCAAAATGTAAATCTGCTACAAGATAAGTGCTATTCTCATATTTAAATAAACTTTTCCAAACTTTTCATTTTCAGAATGCCATCAGTGCAGAAAGGCCGCCTATTCAGTGTGCAGGATGCAATTGCTGCAGTACAAAATGGAGAGAGTGATTTTAAAATGGATGCAAGAGAATGAAGATGCAGGTGAAATGTGCAAGTGAAACCAATAAAGATGTGGACATCAAGCCCCAACCAAAAAAAAAAAAGAAGACAAAAAAAAAACTTGCTCATTCTTTTCTATATTGGGTCTTAGAAGGTGTTTACATGTCACAGCCATTTCACCCTGCAGCCCAAGAATGGTTACTTACTGAAGCTAAGCAGAACTAAGCCTGGTCACCTGGATTGGAGACCACATGGGAAAACTAGGTTGCTGTCAGAAGTGGTGTTAGTGAGGCCAGCAAGAGGCGCTTAAACTGCTGTCTGTGCAAGTTCTAATGCCCCAGTAAAAGTGAAAGCCTCCATCATGGCCTCCCAATCATCTCCATCCACTAAATTGGCTCTATCACTGTCTCTTCACTCTATCAATACCTGGTATGTTGTGAGCACACTGGTGCCGTTGCCCTGTGGCTGCTGTGGCATCATCCAAGAGGATGCAGCACATTGGTGGTGGTGTGGAGAGACCCCCCTCTTGATTGTGAAGCCCTTTGGGTGTATGGCCATACACGCTAAATTCGCTATACAAATACATATTCCATTACATACATGTCTGTACTTCACTTCAATTATCTGACAAAAATCAGCATACTCCACGTCTTAATTACATTTTTATTTAGTTTGATTATGACTTTAGTCGAATTAAAGTAATCAAAAGTCGCTGTTTATGGTAGACTTTCAATCATAGTATTGTCTTATACATATTAAAATCGGATTATGGGTGTCCATGTAAACATACTCATCATCATGAGTGTTGTATTGACACCGGCATTGATTTAGAGATAACAGTGATTCTAATTTAAGCAAGAACAAATACTCTTTTTTTTTTTTTTTTGCTGTTTTTATGCTCAACATTTTTGAATGGAAACACTGAACGATTCTAAATTTGTATAGGTGCACATATTCAGTATTTGTTTTGTTATACACATACAGGTAAGTATACTTTAGTCTTCATACAGGCAGTCCATGGTTCAGCATTCTTTAGAAATACAGTCCTGCTGGTGAAATGCAATGCCAGTCAATGAAAAGGAATGGTGACTTTTGAATATCTGGGTGTGAATCTTGACAGCGGACACAGTGGAATATCTCAGTGCGATAGGAACACCTGCTGAGGGACAGTCTGCCTTTCATGTTTAGGGAATATATTGGACTAACCGCAGGCTGTAATGAAGCGATAAGACCGCATTGCAGGATTCTGATCAAACATGTTCCTTATCAAACATCCTGACCAGTTTCAATACTGGTATATTCTACCCAGAAAAGAGATAGTGCAAGTGTATTTCCAAGTTCGACCTCAGACGGATGAAATGCAAAAAAAAAAAAAGTAATTTTCTTGCTCAAGCTGCATTTCTAAGTGCACATTGGATGCTGGAAAAGATTACAAAACAGCTGGAGGCTGGAATGCATGCTTCAAAACAATGGAGTTTGTCTTGGGGGTTCTTTACATCAACTTGAAAAATATTGATCTGAATTCTTCTGCTGAATTGCTCTTGGATTCTCAGCTCAACGAATGCACCACATGTACTTTAGTCTGAGAGATTCACAGTTCACATTCTTTCAACCATCCAGGAGAAAGCATTGGACGAGAGCCTCTACTTGCTGTTCTATTCACGTTTCCCGTAGTGCAGCCAACAAAACCATCTCATCATAATGCTAATTTAAATGCAGCGTGAAGATATTGGAGGGTAATCCCCAAAGTCATAACCAAGTTCCCCTTGCTTTCTGCAGGATGTTACATGACAACTCTTTCTCTCTGGTATGCCATAGATCAGATCAACAAGGGGTTTCCATGACTACACTCCATGACTGAAAAGTGCGCCTCTGTGACTTATTCAACAGGACTTCATGATTTCATGAAGACAGCTTTGATCTCTTCATTCTTCCACCTTCAAAGATCTTTTTGTGATTGTGACGTCTTTTACTGCAAAAATTGTGATGTTACTGTACTGAGCAGAGGTTGAGATCCATTCCTTCATCCCCACTGCTTTATAGAGTATCACAAATCAAAGTGAGAACATATGCATGATCCAACTTGAATAACAAACTGCAAAACACAAAAAACTGAGGCAAACAGAATGTTTAAATGAGGTGTCACAGTCGCTTTTGAATAATGCAATTCATTAGCTAAAGCAGAATGTAAACAGACAATTATCTTTATTATTTCAGTGTCACTTTTGGAAAGACAATTGAGACTTAATGACTGTTAGTGTACTGGAATACTCTGCTGTGTTGATTAGGAGAACAAATGATTCCGTCATTTGACAATTTATTCTAGGGGTTTGAAGCCGTGCTAGTGTGAACTGTGGTTTGTTTGCTCCCATGTTTAAAACAAGTGTAAAAAAGCATATCAATTAAAATGTTTTAACACTTTTTTTTAGATGGAATGCAATAAAAACCAGTGTCTTTCGGTCACAATGTCTCCTTAGTGCCTCACGCAGCACTTATCTGTAGTGTATGTTTCATTTCTGCAAAGTTTCTAAATCTTTAACATTCTTCTGAAGTGTAACTTTTGTATTATGTTTCTACTTTACACCTAACACAGGCATTAATATTTAGTTTTTTTCAAAAAATTATTTAAAAAGTAATTTTAAAAAATAGCTGTGATTAGTCATTTTTTGTCATTTTGTTGTGCTTTTATCAATTATATACAGTGCTTAGCTAAGTACACCCCATTTTGAAAATGAATATTTTGATCCATTTATCAGTTAATAAAGTGAATTTATTTTGGTGCATTTGAACAAAACAGATTTACCAAACAGAGATATTTTTTTAAAATAATATTTTAGTCGCTGAACATATTCAGAAACTGAAAGATAATACAATCACATTCAAGCAAAATACTGAGTACTAATCAGTACTGACTAGTCTAATGTATATGGACAAATAAAATATTGTATAGCTGATTGGTTCATCAGTAACAACTTGGTCCCAGTCTCAGCCAATCAGATCACTCCAGCTTACTATTTATATTTTTTGTACGCCAGCTGTTTGTCAGTCTTTTTTTGGCTCGATTTGTTAATGGATTTTGTGCTTGTTTGCTTGCTTGATTTTGTGATTATATGCCCATTTTGTTCAGTTTTGTTGTTACATATTGTCTGTCTTCACCCTTATTTACACTGTGTTGTCATTTTGGTTTATTCACTGTCTGTTTTTACCTGTGTAATATTCATTCTCTTTCCTCATGTTTCCCTAAAGAGGTTTGGGAGAAAGACTGGTAGGTAAGTAGGTCACGTGACATACATTTCAACACATAGGAGTTCAACTTTCTAGAGATACACTAGGGAAGGGGGAGAGTGCCAACCCGTGTGTTTTTGGTTAAGTAAATAGTTAGTGTAGTTTTGGTAAGACGTCTTTAACGTTGAAGACTTATCTTTCACAATTTTATTGAGACTGTTTGGTTTTAATTGTTTCTTTGCTTTGCGCCACCCATAGCCAATCTTTCTAATTTATGTTTTGTTTTGGTTGTGATTTGTAAATATTGTAAATAGCTCACTCAATGCTTCACCTATCACCACCGGTAATAAATTACTTTATTTGCACAGCAATTCTTGTCTGCGGTCATTACTTTGAGTACAATTTTTTTGAGTGTCTGTTTGAACCAGATCCTTAAGTGTGCAACCCGACTTCCCTAGGCTGCCCACTGCTTGTAACACTGAGCACTGTATGTATATGATTAATATATTATTCTCTTGGTAAAAATGTGTTGATTTCAACAAAATAAAATGAACATGACGGTCAAAAACTTTTAAAGAGGTGTCACATTCTTACTTTTTTGGTAAAAAAAGAAAAAGAGAAAGGATTTTCCAACAACAACAAAAGAGACAACTTTTTCAGATATTTCATGATTTAGAAATGATTGTGGAACGGCTGGATGCTTTCTTGGATGTTTCTAAAAGTCTGATAAATTGCCTGACTACAAATATCTTAAGATTTTAGGTTGAAAGCAGCTCTCTTTCTTTGAGCTGTTGAGCACTGATTGCAGTGTCCCGTCTCCAGCTGTTTTGAACCTTGAACAAAACCAAAGGCAGCACTTTTCTGAGCCGTGATTTTCAGTAAAAACCCCATCGGTTTTCTTTCTATCATTTCATCACACATGCATCATACATGAGTCCCTCTTAAGATGTAAAAAAATGCTACAGCATTGATGCACGGCCATGATAAAGAAAAAACACCCTAGCCCTGCTATCATTTAACAATTCATGTAGCTCAGCTAGAACAACATTGGCAAGGTCATGGGTTTGATTAATTTTTAAAAGCATCTATGCGTCTTCCAAATGCATAAATGCAACATCACACAAGCATTATCCTTTCAACATTATTCTTTCACACTTTACAAGGCACTTTGCACATTTGCGTTCATTCATGTCACAGTATATAAGATCGACTCCTGCACTCCCAGCATGCTAGCTGCCCACTAATATGTTCCCGCTGCACAAGTGGGTGAACCTGGCACACTAAAAGCTGTTGATGAGATTTAAACTGCCAAACAATGTGAATCTGTGTGAATTGAATAGGGCTGGGTAAACATATTGATTTTTTTGATTTTAATCGATCTACATTTTAACTAAACAATATTGATTCAGGAAACCCGCAGAACCCGAGACTAATGTGTGGAAGTGCTTTATGTTCACAAGCAATGACGGTAAAGATGAGGTTGACAAATACCTGTTATTTCTAAAGCAGATGCAAAGAGTGAGCATGATGTGATTTAAAACAATTGAACCTACTATAATTAGCAACTAAATGTGTGTGCAATGAATATGCTGTGGTGTGATTGATCCAAGCATTAATGACAAGGAGGGGAGGGGGGGGGCAAGGGGGGAAGGAAAATGCTTCAGTCTAGTTGTCAAAGACTGTCTGTTAAATTCAGTTTAAAAGCCTGGAATTGAGCACTGCAAAGCATGAATATCTGTCTATGTTACATAGGTACAAAGTACATAATAAAATTTTGAAAATGTTATGATCTTTCTGTAGTAAAAGTTTTATCAAAGAGTACAAATATATTCTCCATTCTGCTCAATACTGGAGGCTTTTTTAAGACGAGCTCTGAACAATCATGATTTACTATTTATATAAAAGGGTTTTTGATGCTGTTAGCATACTGTTTACTGTAGTGCAGTTTCAAAAGTGAAAAACAAGTATGAAATGTGGGAAGTGAATGCGCTAAATGTTCTATGTAGATGATGTTAATTTAATTATTTTAATTAAGAACAAAAATTGACTGAAAGTGTTGATGAAGGTTAGGTTTGATAGGTTAATGTTGTCCTAACACCTACCTCTCTTAATGTTAAAGTAATACCTTGCTACCTTAATAGTCTATTTCTTACACTCTGAAAATAGACTGTGAAAATCAGTAATAAAAATTGCAAAAATTAAAAACTTATCTGTCTTAGGTGTTTGATGAGGTGCTTGCCCAAGGGGCCAATATTTGCTAGAGGTGCCAGTAAAAAATTCAGCTAAAACAAACAAGACTTACAAAACAACATGTGTAGGCTCGCAAACACAAC